GCACTGAGCTCAGGCTGACAGGGCTGTAGTTTCCCAGATCCTCCTTCTGGACCTTCTGGTAGATGAGTGTCACGTTTGGTAACCTCCAGTCAACGGGGATTGCCCGGTTAGCCTCGGTGGAAGTGCTCACCAAACCACTTCCAGCCATCTCCCTCGTTACCCGTGGGTGGACCCCATTCGACCCCGTAGACTTGTGTGTGTCTAAGTGGTGTGGGAGGTTGCTGGCTGTTTCCCTTGGATTATGGGGGCTTCATTCTGCTCCCCGTCCCTGTCGTTCCAGCTCAGGGGCCTGGGCACCCAGAGAACAACTGGTCTTACTGTTAAAGACTGAGGCAAAGGAGACATTAAGTACCTCAGCCTTTTCCTCATCCTTTGTCACCATGTTTCCCCCCACATCCAAATAAAGGATGGAGATTCTCCTTAGCCCTTGTTTTGTTGCTAATGTATTTATAGCAATATTTTTACTGTCTTTTATGGCAGTAGCCAGATTAAGTTCTAGCTGGGCTTTGGCCCTTCTGATTTTCTCCCCGCATAACCTTGAGACATCCTTGTAGCCCTCCTTAGTGGCCTGCCCCTTCTTCCAGTAGTCATAAACTCTCCTTTTTTTATCCTGAGTTCCAGCCAAAGCTCTTTGTTCAGCCAGGCCGGTGGTCTTCCCCACCGGCTCATCTTTTGGCACATGGGGACAGCCTGCTCCTGCGCCTTGAAGATTTCCTTCTTGAAAAATGTCCAGCCTTCATGGACTCCCTTTTCCCTTCAGGACTGCCTCCCTGTGACTCTCTCAACCAGGCCCCTAAGCAGGCCAAAGTCTGCCCTCCGAAAGTTCAAGGTAGCAGTTCTGCTGACACCCCTCCTTATTCTCTGAGAATTGAAAACTCTATCATTTCATGATCGCTGTGGCCAAGATGGCCTTTCAACCATCACATCACCCACAAGTCCTTCTCTGTTCACAAACAGCGGGTCCAGCAGGGCCTCTTCCCTAGTTGGCTTCCTCACCAGCTGTGTCAGGAAGGTCTCTTCCACACACTCCAGGAACCTCCTGGACTGTTTCCTCTCTGCTGTGTTGTATCCCCAGTAGATGTCTGGTAAGTTGAAGTCCCCCATGAGAACAAGGGCTAGTGATTGTAAAACTTCTCCACAACTGCTTATGGAATATTTTGTCTGCCTCTTCATCCTGGTTGCTCTGTAACAGACTCCCAACATGATATCTGCCTTGTTGACCTTCCCCCTGATTCTTGCCCATAAACACTTGAGCCTGTCATCGCCATCTTCAAGCTCTAGACAATCAAAACGCTCCCTAATGTACAGGGCTACCCCACCGCCTTTCCTTTCCTTGCCTGTCCCTTCTGAAGAGTTTATAGCCATCCATTGCAGCACTCCAGTTGTGCGAGTCATCCCACCGTGATTGCAACTATATCAGTCTTCCAGCTGTATAATGTCTTCAAGCTCCTCCTCTTTGTTGCCCATGCTGTGTCCATTGGTGTAGATGCACTTTGGCTGCGCTATTGATCCTGCCTCCTTTTTGAGGGGAGAAACCCTAATTCCTATGTGGCTGTTCTCAGGTGCTTCCATGGTCTCTAACACATCAACAGCCCTTACATCTTTGCTGCCGCATGGATCTCCATCCCCTACCTCTGCTGAGATGGCAGACTTAAGAACCTTGCTAGCACATCATCCCTCCCTCTCTCCCTCCACATTGGCATGCCTCCCCCAGGCTTATCTCTAGTGAGCCTGACTTTATCCCTTTGCCCCTTCAAATCTAGTTTAAAGCTCTTTCAATGAGCCCTGCTAACTCCTGTGCAAAGATCCTTTTCCCCCCTTTGAGACAGGTGTACTCCATCTGTCACCAGGAGGCCTGGTGTTGTGTAGACTGACCCATGATCAAAAAACCCAAAATTCTGCTGGTGACACGAGGCTCAGAGCCAGCTATTGATCTGCTGGCTCTTCCTGTTTCTTTCCTCATCATTCCCTGCAACTAGAAGGACAGAGAACACTACTTGTGCTCCTGATCCCTTAACCAGTCGTCCCAAGGCCCTGAAGTCTCTCTTGATTGCCCTTGGACTGTAGCAGAATGTTTCACCAGATTCTGGTTAATCTCATGGAGTTGCACTTCTGACCTGGTAGGCTTTTACCTACAAACTAGGTGTTTGCCTAAGGAAATAATGCTTCAGGCTAGAGGCAAGTTGGTTGTCTGCCCCATCTGCTTAAGGGCCCCTTGCTGTGAGGTCAAAATGCCACACTGATCCGTTGCCGTTACTGGTACTGTCCATAAATCCCGAAGCTGGTCTTCTCAAAATGTTTTACTTCCTTAATGGTATTTAATTACACTTAAAGAAGGTTTTTCCTGTCAGTTTCCCAGAAGAGTTTTCATGCTTCTTTTGCTGTATGGATACTTAAACATTTCTTTGCTTACGTTAGGCATGTAGAATCTATAAAGTAACCGTACGTGTAACTGTCTCCACAGATGTGAAGACAGGCTTTGTTCTGGAGAAGTGAAATGATGCATGGAAATTAAAGGCATTTTAGATGTATTCCAAGCACAGTAATGCTCAGAAGCTGCCCAACACGATGGCTCTCCAGCAGCCAGGGCAAATTACTTTGAAAATGAGGCCTCTGTGACAAATCTTGGACAATCCCTGCGAAGACTACCTTGATGTTTAAAAACCCCACGGGCAGGAAATCCTTGCAGGTTGTACTGTGGTGATAGTGCAGCATGACTTGACCTGCATCATTTCTGATTGTGCTCGCTGATCTCTTGGGTGAATAAGTCTTACAGCTGCTCTGTGCAGATAGTCTTTTTGTGTACAAGATGAGCCCCACCCCAACTCTGATTTTCCTTTAGAGCAACACGGAGTAAGAGTGAGTAGCTTTCTGCTCTTGATCCAAAGCAGCCTTTGAAAGTGAAATACCAGTGTGCCAGGGCTCTTCCACCCATGGCTGTAAGCCTCGGGAGTTGCTGGTGGAACATGGAGTTGCTGTGAATGAAGCTTGTGTTGCAATGAACACTAATGAGAATGTCTTTCCTCCACATGACAGCTGTTCCTCCCAGATGGAGTCACTGTAGAGGTGGTCGTGGCGAACCAAGTCAATGCAGGGCACATGTTTCTACAGCAGCATACACACCCCACTTTCCATGTCCTGCGTAGCCTTGACCAGCAGATGTACGCCTGCTATTCCCAACCTGAAATTCCAACCCTGCCAACTCCAGTGGAAGGCAAGTAACTTGTTTGCTCACAAATTGTTCAGTTGAGAAACTGCTAGGGTCATGCAAAAGCCTCATGCCTCTGAGTTATGCTTGGGAAGTTTCCCAGTGGATGAGAATGTGATAGTTTACTTGTCACTTCATTTTTTTTTTTTTTTAGGCTGCTGTCAGAGTACAGATGTTGCTCTGCTCTTCCTTACCCCGCTCATCCCTGGAGTACCTCCCCAGCCACTTAGCTGCATGTTGAAATTCAGAATGACATAAAGCCCATCTCAGGTTATTTCTAATCAACTTGGCATCTGGTGTATTTTTGCTGACAAAGTGTGGAACTACTCCCAAGATCTTCATAGTGTTATTAGTGCTTACTTTCCTTTTGGAGACAGACCTCACTGTTAGTGACCAAAGGCTGGAAGTGGACACCTGGGTAGAACAGCATGTTAGTGGCAGACAGGAGACTTGAGTAAAATCCACCTCTCCTGTGTCTCAGCTGCAGGCCTTGCAGGATGTGGGACGTGTTGAAAGAAGATGGAAGCAGCATAAGAAATGCTGTTGATCCTCAGTAGATAACTGTGCAGCACTACTAATGCCTGAAGTAGATTTCCAAAAATCAGCACTTATACTGAGCCTTCCTTCTCTGTACTCTTATATTTTGCAGTTGGTATTATCTGTGCAGCTCCAGGCCTGGATGGGGCATGGTTACGGGCTCAAGTTATTAGCTACTTTGAGGAGACCAGTGAAGTGGAGCTCAGATATGTGGACTATGGAGGATACGACAAAGTGAAGGTCGACACACTCAGACAAATCAGGTCTCTAGCTCCTCTTCCATGGCCTGAGGCCATATCTGGCTTGAATCTTCATCAGAGGCATCCATGTCATTTGAATTGCTTGTAGGTTTTTCCACAACTGAAGTGGGAAATAGTAGAAAAATCTGTCTCAGCAGCGGGTGTGGATTCCTCGGGAGTACAGCAAACTCTTGCAAGGCTATTTTGAAGGGAAGGGGAGAGGAAATGGCAACTTCTGCCACTTCAGTGTGGAAGCTAAGCAAAAGGATGCCTTTGGGAGGCCCCAAAGTGTAGTTAGTTGATGAGCTAGAAATAAGATTCAGATTCTCCATGTGCCAGCCCCGTTGGCTGGGAGAGCTGTACTGGATGAGGGTTTTCTTACAGAAGCCTGTTAAATACTTGATTGTGCCCTGGAGGTGGGAGAAAAGCAGTACAGCCTCCATTATGGAGGGGGGTTTTGCTTGGAGCCCAATCCAACTTGGCGTGCTAATCGGACAATTTATTGCTGCCGCTTGGATTGCCGGGAGAATAGTCTGGGGTTTTTTTTGACTGTCATCAACTTTAAACTGAATTCCTGTTACAGCAATTGATTAATCAATGCCGTCTTAAAGAATACAGGAGTAACTTAAAGCCATGTTCTTATTCTGATTGATTCCCTTTTCTTTAAGGTCTGATTTTCTATCACTACCTTTCCAAGGAGCAGAAGTTTTACTAGACAACGTGGTGCCACTTCCAGGTAATGGAGCTCTCGAGACATACCGTTGACCCTCCTCCTGTGGGTTTAAATGGATGCCAACTGTGTACAAGCAATGATTCTGTCTAAACCTTCTCCCTCCTATTGCAAGCACAGCTTCTGATGTGACTAGAGCAAGGACTGGAAAAATTGTATTTTATTCTTCTAAATGTGCTAGCATGGCATGACCTGTCAGACTCCAGGGGAAAGATGATAAATGTCCAGGCTTTTTCCTGCATGGAGGAGAGAATTAATTACTGTCCTAAACAGCGAGTTGACAGGACTGGCAGGGTATAGGTGAAGTAGCTGTAACTACTCTGCTGCCTTCTGTCATAAAGTGGCTGTAAATGCAAACTTAGTTTTTAATCTGCTAGACAAATATCTGACATTTTCCTACTAAAACGACTGTGTGTAGTTCTGTGTTCAAAAGGCTACTCTCTAAGCACTAGAAGAATGTCAGTCACTGCCTACAAATGCTTTCTGTTTGTGGTTTGTATTTTTTTTTCTAGTGGTGTTAGAGATGGGTGCTGTATTGGTGTCTAAAAAGCTGCCCTTCTGGGTGTGAAAGGGGTGGCTGTAGGAGCTAGGGGTCAGGCCAGGCTTCCCCACTGGGCTTTGTGGCTGGCAGGACTCCAGGCAGTACAGGCTCTGCCAAGACTGTAGATGGATGGCAAGGTTTAAGCTGCCCCGAGCAGAAGTCAGTGTTTTGCATGTTCCCTGAGGCAGTCGTCTTGCTTCGGGATTTGTCGGGCTGTAAGTTCACTTGCTGCTGGAGATGCTCTCAGGGTGGGAGCACAAAGGAGAAACTTTATTTTGCAGTGACTTGGTAGGAAATAAGCAACTTTGCTCCAAAATGAAAACACTTGTGTCTGGTCTACAGTGTAGACTGTAACTGTGTTGCCTGGGACACAAGGGTTTCCTGCTGCATGACAGGTGTGGAGTTGGCAACAGCACCCACATAAGCTGCACAGGCTCGGAGACTGGAACTGCCAGCACTTGCAAAGAGTGCGTGTGGCACTGTTCAGGTGCCAGCCAGCCCGCGGTACAAATGCTTTGGAGTTCCCGTTTCCAGTATTGCGCTCTATGCGGGGTCAGTAAAGTCATGAGGCCCCTGAGCTGAGTTTATTAAGGATCAAAATACTAGTGGCAGCTCAAAGGTACTGCAGAAGTACACTTTTCTGTCTTTAAAGCCTCCTAATTCATCAGCCACTTACGTTCTCATTAACTTAGCTACTGGCTTTAGTAAGCACTTCATCCGTTCCCTTCAGCAACACAGCAGGCATAATACTTGTGTGATCTCCTGCTTAATAGACTGGTTTCAGCAAATGCGTACAGCGACAGTAGGTGAGGATTCTCTGGCCTAACTTGTGTAGGAGGTCAGACAAGATTAGCTTAATAGTCCCTTCTGGCCTTTCAAGCCTGTGAATATCTCATTTCTTTTCTCCTGCTCTTTTCTTTCCAAAGATGAGGATCACTTTTCACCCGAAGCCGACGCCGCTGTTAGTGAGATGACCAGAGGTGCAGTCCTAGTGGCACAGGTACAATAGAGCTGTCTGGAAAAGTCTTCTTGCTGATTCGACTGCTGCTGTTATCCTCTCTGCCCCCTAGCATACTCTGTGTGTTAAAACCAAAACTAAAGCCAGGTCATGTAAACCTGGCTGCTGGGCAGGGTTCTTGTTGAGAAATCTTGGTGCTGAGAGCTGCTTTGTGTAACATCAGCACTGCTCAGGACCATGTGGCTGGGAAGGGATGAGTCCTCCCTCTTGTTACAGAGGAAGGGCACTGAACGGGTTTACAGAGCACAAAGTGGCCTGTTGTCCGGCGGATCAAGTATTCACTTGGGTCTGCACTGCTTTGCCAGTCTCAACTGTCTTTGCAATGCTGACGTCTGGGATCCGGCCTCCGGCTGACCAGAGGCAGAAGTAAGGCTTCTGGCAGTGTCCCAAAGGCTTCTGCGTGCAGTGCCTGATGTCAATGAAGAGGCGCTTACCTTTTTTGAAGCGCTTCTGATAGTGGCTGTAACTATCCATGTAAGTCAATTGGGACGAGTGGGAAGCTTATACCATTTGTGAGGCTCAATCTCGTAGCTTCCTTTGGTTTAATGCAGTGCTGAAATGCATCACTAATTCTGGCAAGGGCATGGATGTGAGTGCCTAGAGAGGATTGCCGGCGGGGTGTCCCAGCTGCTTGGTGGCAGTAGCTGCATTTCCTCTAGCCTACACGTCAGGTTGAGTATTTGATATGCAGTGAATGATGCTAGCCTTGCATCCTCCATGGCTCAGACCAGAATTGCTGCACACTAATGTTTTTTGATGTTTCCAGGTCACCAATTATGACGGTGCAACAGGTCTGCCACTGATACAGCTGTGGAACTTGATGGGAGATGAGGTGTGTATGTTGACATACCTATTTTTAAAACACTGTTAGAGTTCATGATTATGCAGACTTTTCATTGTTGATTAGGAACTTGCTGATGTTTCTTGCTAGTGGTTTGTTCACCTTTCTACTTTTCTTTTTTCACCTCCCTTTAGGTGGTGTCGATAAACAGAACTCTGGTGGAAAGAGGATTTGCTCAGTGGCTTGACTACTAGCAATGTCCTAAATGCCTTGACAACTCTTTCTACAGAGAAAAACAGAAGAAGAAATCTTATTTTGCACTGTTACAATTTGGTTTGGCAACTTCTCATAAGAAGACTTGTTTACACCTGTGTGCGGAGTTTTGTCGTCCATTGAAACTTGTCTTGCTCAACTGTTACCATTTCACTAGAAACACATACCTCATCTCAGTGAAAGGCGGGGTGTTAAAAGCCATAATGACAGATACTGTAGCTTTAAAGCAAAAAAATCCTCCCTGGCCTCTACTCAAAAGTTGAATGGAAAAAACCTTAAACCCTTGGAGCTTGCCTGAAGCTACCAAATACCCGAGAAACACTAACTGTGGTTGCATTTTTGTTCAAGATGTATAATGCCCCATGAACTTAGTGTCTGCTTTTCCTAAAAGTTACATCGGTTGTCCTTTTTTAACAGGCTCTGCCTTTGAAATTAATGAATGTTATTAAGGAATTTAATGTTCAGTTATGGATTTTTCTATTTTGTGCCACTAACCTGCACAAACAACATTCATCTTGTGTCTTCCTTGTGCCAGGAGGCAGATGAATTGCATTCGTTGCACTTACTGTGGCACATGTCTCACTGTAGTCATGGTTTTTAGGCTTGATATGCTTAAGGAAGAAAGCTTCTCTGTGCAGATGTTTGAAGTGCACGATATGTTACCACTACAGTTTTTGCTCTGAAATGTCATGTGTTTAAAGAAAAGAACTCATTGCCAAGCCCAATTGTAGTTTATATTTTTCTAGCTGTGCAAGTCTGTAAATATATATAAAAAAATTGTAATATTTTGTACAAGAAAAACACTGGAAACAAAGGGAACTTTACAGAAACTTTTTCACACCAAAATGTCCAATGTAGGTAGAACTGGTTTGGAGTGTATTAGGGTAGCTGACGTATTTGGAGCATCTGAATGTTGGGAGTGTTTCAACTCTGCTGTACACAGGATTAGTATTCCCTTAGATTGCTCTCTGAATTGTGATCACTGCATTCTTTGCTATGTTGCTGTACAGATCTGTTTAAAAAAAAAAAGTAACAACTTGGCATTAATATTGCAGTGGTGTTCTCTCTCAATTTTTTTTGCTCCTTTTTAGATTTCTATTACATATTTAAAATTTTGCTCAAGTAATTTAAGCTGACTTAAGAGTATTAAACACATGCCCTCTAATGTATATCATTTTAGATATGTATTGAGCTGGGATTTATTGCTGGCAGAGAAGATACTTGCCAGGAAAATGTTGATGTAGTCAGTCCTCAGAAGTTTTTTTCAGGTGGATTCAAGGATGTCCTTACATCCTGTGAGCTAACATGTCAGTGCATCACACATTTGGATAGTTGCCTGCAAAAGCATTTGGTCCAATCCCTTCTGATATGGTATGGTTATATCCTGAACTTTTTTGAGTTCTCTCCTATTCGGTGCTTATGACTTAATGTTCATGTTTGCAATAACATCCAATGAAAACCAAATTTGGTAACTCGGTTAAATCTATAAAACATATATCCTCTTGGAATGTTTCTTTCCATTTCAATTAAAGCTCGAATTTTAAGCCATCTTAATCAAACTCTGATGACTAAGAGCCTTCATTTCCTGACCTCTTGCGATGTAGGCTTGGGAAGGGAGCTCAATGGGATAAGCAGGTGAGAGAGGATTCTGATGGCTTTTCAACAGATGCAGAAAGGTCAAGCTTCAAATCTCCTGCAGTTCCTTTGACTTCCAGCTGAAAACTGGGTTTATTTTTATGATTAATTACTTATTAGAAAGCCTTAGTCTGAGCACTAGTACTCAAGGCTGTTGAAACCATTATATATTTGTGGAATTAATTTACTCTGGACTGGAACGTTCCTTTTGTCACCCTTGTGTGTTGAAAACTGAAACTTGGGAGTTTGTTTCTATTGTGCGGGCTATAAAAATCCCCTCTTTGAAATGCTGACAGGTTTCTTGAAGCCAAGCAGTGCGGTGATGTGAATTGGTGTCCCAGTGAACAGTTCGTCCTTACCCTGGTATTGGAGCACCTCACAGCTGAGAAGGTCTACTCTCGCAGTAGGATTTATTCAGACACTATGTGTGGAAAAGAAGCGAAGGCGTGGGCTGGCCTGACTACACTAGGGCTGCACAGAACAAAATGTGTTAAAGTACTGCCTTTGTGGTCTGCAGACGTGTACGCATGCACACATGCATGAACAACCGTTCAGAGTTCCAGCTATCGGTCTTCCTGATCTCAAGAATTAAAACCAATTCGTTGGGTTCATTGCAGAATATACACACAGCCTGGAGATGCTCTGCACTACAACTCAGTGCTGCTTAGGCAAGTGATAGGTGAAGAATAAAATGGATTTTTGGTGGGGAAGGAGTGGGGTTGGAAGTTAGTGAAGTTTGAGAATGTCCTTTCTTCTTGCTTTTCACCCCAGGAAGAGGGTTTCTCTTCACAGGTTTCTCAGTCCTTGCTAGCCTCCAGTATCTGCTGAGGGATGGCTTTCACCATCGGGCATGATCTCCCAGAGGGGAATTTGGTAGCTGGCTTCTTGCGCTGTGGGCGGTTAACAGGTTACGGGTGACCTGAGCGCGGTGCGTGGCGTGCCAAGCTGTGCGTGCCCAGCAGCTCTCTGCCCCTGTTGCAGGCAGTCTGTTTGAATTGCCAGCCAGTTGTCCCTCTCCCTGGACAGAGTTTCTGGCCAAGGGGAGGAAAAAGCTGCTGTGAAGGACATTCTCTGTCCTTCAGCTCTGTAACTTGAGTGGTTAAGCAG